AGACTGTAATTTGTATGCACCTTCAACAACAATTTGAAAGGACTCATATTGTGTATGGGCTTTATAGTTTATTTTTCACAAAATCATTCTTGTAACTATAATCATGTCTACTGTCGCTATCTAAATAAGTTGCCATTCCGTGTGAGTGGCATATGATTTTGTGAGAGGACGTGGAGCAGATAACTTCATTCGGGCACAGATGAGGCAGAGGCAGTGAGTCCATGTCGGAGGATATGAGCACCTTTCACGGGACAAATGGAATGTCAATCAAGCTCCGGTACACAGATGCCCGTCCCCTGTGGCCCGGGAGCTTTCTGGAGATGTATCTCTGTTGTTTTGTCTCTATACTTCAGGTGCACTGGGAATATCCTGTCCTTTTACCCACTACACCCCCACTACTGCATTTTATCCCTCTTATGGGTCCTTTCTTCAGGGGCAAATGCATGTTCAGTATGCGGTACTACCATATTCAAGCATCTTCAAAAGGAAAGGGAGAGTCGGTTCAGTATTTGAACCTTGTTAGATCTAACTTTTGGTTGAAGGAAGGCCCATTTTAAAATGCCTGAGGATAGTAGCAGGTTAAGGGCATTTTATTTGCATAGTCAAGGTATCAACCCAAAGTGTTTTAGAAAACAAGAATGTGATCAATATTATACATAAAATGTATATTATAAATCATGTCAGTAGATTTATTTTTAAAATAATCTCATCTTTCAGTTGCATTAAAAAAACATTGGTGGTTCTAAATAGTATTTCACAGAAAGTACTATGTTTGCATCTCAACACAATGGCCCTTCCCTATGGAGTGCCACAGGGTTCAGTCCTGGGTCTCCCTCTGTTCAATCTAGGCTGAGTTTACACGGAGACAATGTGGCAGTAAAACGGTATAGTTGGATGTCGGTTGCTACCAACCGTTCATACGAAGACTGTGTTCTAGGGGGGTGAAAACGTAAGTGTTCAGATCCAGCCTGCAGAGTGGGACAACTCAGAAACGCTGCACAGCGGGGGCTCTCTTTCACACCCGCGAGAGGGGAAAAGGTGTGAAATCCCCCTCTGCTCTGACCCCCACCTCCGCGCTGCTCCCCGCACGTAAAATTGGACATGCGCAGTAGCGGAGAACAAACATCAACAAAAATGGCGGCGGTCACACTAACTAGCTTCGTGGGCTTCCAGCGCGGCACAGAGGATAATTCTACTCCTTCGTTCGTCCAAACGAGACCACGCGAAGCTCTAGGTTCAGTTTCCATTTTCACAGCTGCCTATTAAAAGGCAGAATGATGTTGGTGCATTCTGAGGGTCTGGCACAGGAAGTGAGTACACTGCCGGGAGGTGGGCTGGGCACGGGGCTGGGGGTCGTGTGAGTGTTGTAAAGTTTCTCTGCCCACTACTGGCCGGGCGCTAGAACTACATCGTTTTTCAACCTCATGTGAACGCAGAGAAATTTGCATTAGGAGCCTGGTCGTTTCTGTTAATAGTCTGGAAACGTCTGCGCAGCGTCTCTGTATAAACAGGGCCTAACAGTAATAAGGTGTCCTATCACAACATTGCAGACAACACTGAGATCTATGGTTACGTTCAGACTGTTATAAGCAGATTGGAATTGCATTGAAGCAAAAAAACAAAAACAAATCAGAACTGGGTCACTGCTGGCTGAAGTCTGAATGTAGCCTTTGTAACCTTCACTGCATCCAAAAGATCAACAAGTGCAAACCATTATATCAAGTTAGAAATCTAAGATGAATCCATATCAAAACAACAACACCCACAGGTCTTAACCATCAAGAAAACATTGCCATAATCAAAAGTATGGTGTCTAATCTGCATTAGACACCATACTTTTGATTTTTGGTTTCAAATTTTGACTAGAACCAGGAAGTACAATCCAATTAGTGCAGGTATCTGCTCTGGCTCAGAAAATAGGCTTAAAAGTAGCTCTGCTTGTATACATGTCCCTCCATGGCCTCACACCAAAGTACATCTCAACATCTGTGACATGTTAGAGCCATATGAACCAACTCGAAATATGAGGAGCACAGTGACTGGCCTCCAGCTGGGACTCTGAGAAGTGCAGGCACTGGCCTCCAGCTGGTGGCTAGAGTCAGAACTAAACATGGAGAGAGTGCATTTCAGATTTCCGTACATACATTTTCTTCCACTTTGAAGCCTAGTGTATAGTCGCGCGGCGCGGAGCTTATGACGGTGACGTGACGTCCCTTGACCAACGCAAGGATCACCGCAAGACCCTTGCGTAGCTCCCCTTGCTCCCTCAAAAAATTCTAACTACGCAGCCGCCACCGCAGAGAGGCTCCGCTGTGATTGGCCCGTGTGTGTTTTGGATAGAAGCATGTAGCGGCTGCAGGGAACATGGACGAGGCACTTCGGAGCAGACAGACATGTTGGTCTCAGATATTTACCACTCATTATTTTGCTCTTTGTGCTCAAATTTACTATAATAACTATGTAACTATGTTTCCATCAAGAACTGTGACTTTATTCACAGCATCACAGTTAAATGAGTTATGAAACAATAAGTCTATAGAACTGTCACATAAACCTACGCTTAGAAACACATTTAATGAGCTCCAACAGCTTGGTTTGCTATTGTTTTCGTTCTGAAGAGGGGAAAGTAGCAGCGTAAATGCGACCGCTTTGGTTTCTCAGGCAACTCCTGTGAGATCGCCATCATGTGGTTGGGTGTGGGATTACAACATTCTCTTCAAAACTACGTAAGGGGAAAGCGCAAATGTACGAGCAACTGTGGCTGCATAGGTCTTGTGCAACCGTAACCAGCTCTGCGCAACTATACACAGGCCTTGACTGTTGCTGGGTCGCCAGGACAGCAGCCGTAGCACTTCCTCTAGCTCAACCGGGGTAATCCCAGACATGAAACGAACTCTTCACCAGGGAGGTCCAGGAGGTTCCAAAACAGATGCCCGAGCTACCTCAACAAACTCCTCTCAAATTATGCAGCTAAAATTTGGAACAGTTTTTCCTGATACAAGCTTTGACAACGAAAGTGTTAAAATCCATCCATCTTCTACCCTTTTAATCCATTTCTGGGTCAGGGGGGTGGCAATCAGAGATGCCACCCAAGTCTCATAGCACCAGCCCCTCACTGACCCTCTGCAGGTGGTGAGTCCACAGGAGGACGGCTGCTCTCTGACTGTGAGCATGGCCTTGATCTTTCAGTGGGGGCTTTGGGCAAAGTGGGGTGAAGTGTCTTGCCCAAGGACACAACGACAGCAGTCATCAGTGGGAGTGGATGGAGAAGGCGCAGAGGTGGGAATTGAACCCACGACCTTCTGGCCTTAAGGCCAATGCTCTACCAACTGAGCTACTGTCGCCCCCAGTGTTAAAATTTTATGTGATTATTTGATTTTACCTGTATGCTTTTGGTGTCTCCAAAGTGATTCTGAGTGAATGAATTGTAAAATAGCCTTGCCAAGGATCAACGGGAGTCCCTTGAAGATGTTCTAAAGCAGTGGTGTCCAAACGTTTTTGATAAGAGGGCCACTGTAGTTCATTAACATTGTCCTGGCGTGGACAGTACGGACTGACTGAATTCAGCTGGTCTGTGTTCTAAAATGAGGTATGATATGCATGTCTATATTGGTTCACATTCCATGGAGCTGGAGTTGAATGATAAATGTTTACTCACCAGCTATACCTGTCATACAATCAAAAACAAAGGTCATGTGCTACACAACGAGGTATGACACTATGTTGACAGAGCTGAAGTTTGCTGGATGACACTGTGAACTTTTGTTTATGATCTCAAAGACTATTTTGTATTGGCAAGGCAGAGGGCCATATAAAGTGAAACGGAGGGCCGGAAATGGCCCGCAGGCCTTAGTTTGGACATGCTAAAGCTTGATGACTTCTCAAATACTAAAATCCTACATATAAACTTACCACTGCAAGTTTCACTTTTTTATATTTATTAATTTGTCAAGAGCAGAAAGCATACTGTCATCTTATACTTAGTCAGATACTATAGCCTTACCATGAACCTTGCATTACCAACTCAATTCCTCCCAAAACATCACGCGCAGTCATTTAATACAGGCCAATTGGAACCGTGTTATTGCGTGTGCGTTGACAGGTCACTTTTTGCAATGTATAAAGTAGCTTATCATTCTATAGATCGAGCTATAGGCCTCATCATCTTAAAGTATGTTGTATTATGGAATTACAGAGACGCAGCCACATCCTCACGACGGCTTATTAAAACGCGACACGCCATTCACTCCGTAAAGGTGCTTACTCAAGGGAACGCGCACACTGTTTATTGTTTGATTAATTTTCTGGGAGGAGACCTGAAATTCCCCCACTCATGAATACGTGGGTGACAGTGAGGTTTCTCGCCGGTGACAAGTTATCTAAACTACAGGGCAAAACGATTATGCTAATAGCAGGTTGTAGTCATCAATCATCTCCTGTCAATGTAGTGTCAACGCACCACGTTCTCCTTTCCCCCCTCTGGCCAAACACTGCGTCTCCGTGTGCGCGTCTATGTATGCGGCTTTATGTGAAGACAATTGATCACAGTCTCATTACGCCTGAGGGAATCATGGGTGCGCTTAAGTTTGGATCAAAAAGCCTAGACGGAATCCATTAGGTGATTTTTCTAGTCTACTTCTATAGGCGCACGCACATCCAGGTCTGACGTCACAGAGGTGCTTCTTAAAACCAAAGAGCGAATGCTGGAGATGTGCGCTTTGATCACACACATACGGAATCATAGCAGGATCTAAGGACGTTGCAGGGGATCTCTCACCCAGGAAGTGACATTTGAAACAATTGTGAGTCTGGGTGCGTAAAGTGGAATTGGTGGGTAATGTTGCCCAACTGAAGGAGAGCAGTGGCGAACCATTCTAGCGGCTTTGAAGAACTATTGGAAGTGTCACGACCTGTGTCCAAAGTGCGAGGGTGAGCTCCGGATGCTGCTGAAGTGGCAGCGCGCCTGTCTTCGCCTTTGGTATCATCACCTCAAGTAGCCCATGGCTTTCTCTCACGTGGGATTTCCATACCCTTCCACACCTCCGGTAAGTTCAAGAACACACAATAACAAATATTCAACACTACTATGTTTGTTCTAGTCATTCGAAATGCCACAGGATCCAGTTGATATTAACTTTATTTATTTTTATTTGGGTGTTAAAAGGAGGTACAATGCATAAAAGAACATTTAACAAATGTAAATATGCCAGATTATAGTTTTAGGCTAATTTCCGTCTGCAGACCCCCGAGATTTTAGCAGCTTGCTTTAAAGCGTTCTTAAACTACAAACATTGTGAGGTATTACAGGAAGCTCAATCTTACAACTGAAATTGTGGCTGTAGACACGAGAGAAAGATTGAACTTTCAGTCATTATATACATGATCTCCATTGTTCACATAAACACATGTGTTTATGCATTTGTAACACTCACACCCAATTCAACCACTCAGATGTAATGACCTCACCTGGTTACATGTGTAAAAACACTTTGGATTTGTGCTGGGTAAATTAGTATGATGAAGTCATATAATCCTCAAATTAAGGACAATACATCTTGATTTGGTAGTTTTCGAACTCATGTGTGTTATTTGTGTACCGCAGTTTCTGATGGCGTCCAGCCCTCTAAGCGGGTGTTTGGAGCCATGCTCTCCCCAGTCCCACATAGTGGCTCACTCCCCAGGACACCAGCTCACCCCTGGCATAAGTGTGTACAGCGGCCCATATAAGAGCCAGACATACTACAGCAGCTGCAGCAACGACACCCCAGGACTCTACTCAAGAGTAAGGACCATACTACACCAAGCCTTCAGCACTTTCGTCTGTGTAGCGTTGGGTGTAACTTATGTTTAAGGAATTCTTTTATAAAGCATATATTATTAATTCAGAATCCAGCATAAATGTTGAAAACAATAACTTGCTGTTACTGTTAAGGTTACGGACAAAAAAAAAAAAAATGGCAACAAAAAAAACCCCAGCTACACACAGAGCTTGACTTCTGTTTGGTCAGCAGGGTCCAGTGTTGGGCAGAGTGTCTCTTGTTGTCACTAATCGGACTCTAACTCCATGTTTCAGGGTGCACCTGAGCCAAAGGAAGGAGCAGCTTCTGTGTACATGGGCTCCTCGCAGACGCCTGCCTACTATCCCTATGAGTACACGTTTGGACAGTATCCCTATGACAGATATGGGTATGCAGATTACCACTGCTTATTATAACTTAGTTAGTTTTAGTTAGTTTATTTTTTTCTTCGGTCAATATGTACACCCGACCTCGGGTCACACGGATACAGAGCTCACATTTACTTTATAACTGCACTACTTTTTATCTTTTTACTTATTCTACAAATAATCTGGATAATCTAGTACATTTTTGAATTTAGAAATCCTTTGCATACCAAATACTATTCAGATTTGTTTGTCTACAATCATTCAATATTGTTTGGAAAATGAAACACCTCAATACATATGTACATATATGTAATATTTCTTGGAGATAAATTGATCTGAACTGACAGGTACTTGTCTGGATGTGTCAGGTACAGCTCCTCTGAGGGAGCGGCCCGGCGGAAGAACGCCACACGAGAGACCACCAGCACTCTGAAAGCCTGGCTCCAGGAGCACCAGAAGAACCCCTACCCCACTAAAGGAGAGAAGATCATGTTAGCCATCATCACCAGGATGACGCTCACACAGGTGCGAGAAAATATTATCACGGCTCATTTATTGATACACAGCTTTGTCAGTTTGTTTTACATTTCATCTGTTTTGGTTTGTTCTGCTCAAATCCAGGTTTAGTTCTAGTCCTATTGAGAATTCATTCATTCATTTTCTACCTCTCTATTCGTCCATTTCTGGGTCGGGGGGGGTGACAATGAGAGCTGCCACCCAATGCTCATAGCACCAGTCCCTCGCTGATCCTCTGCAGGTGGTGGGTCCACAGGAAGATGGCTGCTACATTAGTGGTGCCACAGCTTTGGTGTTTCAGCGCGAGCTTCAGGCAATTTTAAGTGTCTTGCCCAAGGACACAACAACAGTAGACATGAGAGGGAGCATTTGGAGTAGGTCCCCGGGGTGGGGGGACTAGAACCCACAACCTTCCCGCCCAAAGACCAATGCTCTACCAACTGAGCTACTGTCACCCCCCTATTGTCAACTGAATCCCAATTTAAATGTAGTTTGTGTAATTGTTGTTCCTCTCTATTCCGTAGGTTTCCACGTGGTTCGCTAATGCTCGCCGAAGGTTGAAGAAGGAGAACAAGGTCACATGGTCTCCTCGCGCTTGTAAAAGCTCAGATGACAGAGGCAGTGAGGACAGCGATGATACGGAAAAGCCTCTAAAAAGTGAGCACGATTTGTCAGGTAAATCTAACTTTGGCTACTCTACTCACAATTTAAAATGCAAAAAAGACACTATGAAATTTGTGTAGATCAGGTGCATTTGCAAACAACAGCTGTTTGGGGGCCCAAAAGTATACAATTCTCTTTTTATTGACATTATGAAGGTATTTTGGCAGTCCTCTAATATTTAACATGATATTGGATTTTCTTTTTCATGAAATTTTTCTGAATAAAATGAGTTCATTTTAGACTGAACCAAAACTGTATCAAACATATAGAAGAGACAAAATTGAAGACTGACAGGCCAAATATTTTATATTTAACTAATATATTTTAGAATACATGAAATGCTTTAAACTGTTACCATCAATGCACGTTTATTATAAAAATGGAAAATGGGTCTGAGTTTGACAAGCCTGGTGTAGATTATGATTATGACTTGCACTGAGCTTCTCGATAGTTACGCTAGATCTGATAAGAGATCATAAAATCACCTTTTGATACAAGCCGCCTCCCATTACCCCTGACAACATATCACCAATGATTGAAATACATAAATATGTGATTAAGTCAATTGTGTTTTTCAGAACAGCAGCGTGGCGACCTGCAGAGTGACCTAGAGGACTTTGACCTGCTTGAATCCGACGCTTCTGACTCTGAACCTAAGCCTCCGTTTCTCCCTGAGGATCCAGACTCCACTCACAGCACAAATAAACCACAGGAGCAGGACTGTCACAAACTCACCCCTGTCCCGCCACAGACTGCCTTCTACACAGGTCCAGAGCTCCGGAGCTCCCGTGACAAGCCCAAAATCTGGTCTATTGCCCCGTTAGAGGAGGATCAGCAGGAGCCTGAGTATCCCTCGTGCATGTTGGCCAACACAGGCTCCCACTCCCCGCTCTACACCTCCAGCATGGCTCTGTCCAAGGCCGAGCAGCAGGAGTCCCCTGTGGCCACGCTCAGAGAATGGGTGAATGGAGTTTTTCACGGGCCGCCATTCCACCAGGTGAAGTCTCCAGGAATGTGGAAAGGCCTGCATGAAAATATGACAGACTCAGACCGGATGCAAGGACCGCTGTGAATGATATGTGACATTTACGGATTGATCTGCGGACTTTTGGAATCTATTGAGTGAACTGTAATATTTTCAAATGAAAACTGAAGGATGCATTCACACTTGATTCTGTTTGGTCCTGTTTCGTCTCTGGTTTATTTCAAACAATATCGACTTATCTAAATTTATTTTGTGAAAGTACTGAATCTTACATTGACCCGACTATATTCAAACAAAGTTTTAGTTTGTTCGTTTTCTTTAGTCATTTACGGTTAATGCCACATTGGAATTTTTTCCTCTGCATGGGGCTGCCTTTTGTCTCTTATGAGTCCATAAACCAGAAAACTGGTTAGCATCTTATCAATGGTATCATTTTCATAGGACAATTGAAAAACAACATATTTTTATGAATTGAAATGCATAATTTGCATGCATTTTTTCCTTGTCTCGTGTATGTATTTAGTGTGAAGATTGAATGACTGATTGTTTGTTATCTATTAATAATGGATCTTGATTTTTAGCGTTTTGAGAAATGCACAGATACTTGCACAAGAACAAAAAGAAATATTGAATTGCACATGTTCACATTTTTATTTTCCAGATCATAATGATAACTTAATTAATTATTAGCACATGTGGGCCTTATTTTACTCACTACACTCATGTGAGACAGCACAGACATCAGTTAACATAATATTATTTTCCACTTGCACTACAGCCTGCACATGCACTCAATAAAAGTTGTATTCTGGTAAAGCCTTTATTGTGATGAAAATGCATGAATAATTATAGCTGTCAATATTTTGTTTCTCGTGAGATGTCACTCAAACAGTTTCAGCAGCTTTAAAACAAACATTTTTAAGCCACTTCCTAAATGATACATTTGTGAAAGTTTAACAAAAAATAGTATATATCTTTTGTTTTTACTCGTTTACAATTATAGTTTTATAAAAGTGCTGGATGTGGATATACTAAAAATGAATGCAGTGTTAGTACTGTCATAATGTCTCCATGAAGCTGCTACTACTTTTCCAAGTCATTCCCAAACTAGGGGTGTAGTAAAAAGTGGTACAAATCCCAAATTTACATTAATATGTGAAAAATAAATACAGTATTTGCATCTGTCATGATATATCATTTTGGAGGACTGTCAGTTTGAAGTAATCCTTTTTATTGGAGGATAATGGGGCTGATTCTATGTAATCACCGCAGATCAGGTAAAAGCGATCTGTTATCTCAGCCGCCTGTGCGTGTTTGTGTGGGCGGGGGCCAGGGGCAGTCAAGGGGGGAAGTGGGTGCTATTGAGCCGTGACTAATTGAAACACACAGAGGAGGGTGCTGCTAAATTGTTAAATCGATGCCACTTCCACATCGGCTCCAGATATAGCAGCAATCAGCGATGCGTCTCTTTTCATTAGACCACTTCGGAGTGTGTCGACCTGGGACTAAAACCAAACACTCGGCTGTGTCCCAAAACTCCCAGTGTACCTGCAGGGAACGCGGGCGCATCCATATCCACTCCACTGCTTTTTACAACAAGTGATTTGGCCCATTTCAAATAATCAAATTCTCTTCAATTTCAACAATGCATTTCCACAATATTGAGACACACACGCGCGCACACACACACACACACACACACACACACACACACAAAACGCACACACAAAGACAGTCAAATACTACATACACCCAACACTTTTTTCTCCTTTTCTTTCCTGCTGCTGTTTTTTCGGTTTAGAAACATTGATAAAGTATTTATCAGGACAGAGGAGGGATCTGCCCAGGCTTTGTATGGAATTAACCATTTCACAGTAAATAATTCAACAAGAATTCAAGCGTGGATTTCATTGTGTTTCTGCCTCATAAATAAGTAAGTTTAGAGGTGATAAATAATGACATCTGACTTCTTATTTCAGCAAAGTTGTTCTTCGGCCCAGCCACAGCGGGACAGACAGACATTGCTGTGGAAGGAGTGGGAGACACACGTGGCTACAGCGAAGGAGGATTTTTTTAGATTGTCCTAAATTGCAAAGAAGATTTCAAAAAAACACCTAAGAATATGGGTCCTTGAAGTTATCGGGAAATCTGCTTTACCAAAAGTTTTAGGATCATAGAATAGGAGTGGACTGACGGAGTTCTGATGTCACCACCAGAGTGATTCAGATTCAGATTCAGATTAATTCTATTTGCCATTTGCAGTAAACTCACATTGGAATACATTTGTCCCCAGTGTGCACAAGACAAGTATATAAATAAGTACAGGAATGAAACAAACACAATTGACACTGTAAAATTGATCAACTAAAACAGTTTCAATTCAAGTGTAAGATTATTAAAGTGCTCTGTTTAAACTGATAACAATTTGTGGAAAGAAACTGTTAGCAAAACGATTCCTGCAACTCAACGAACATCTTCTGCCAGAGGAAAGAAGCTGGAACATCAGAAGAATCATTCATGTTTATATGTGTTTATCTATTTATGTAGGATATGTGTATATACATATGTATGTATATATATCTTTATATTCTTTTTCTATTTAATCATTTTTATGGGTTTTATTCCTATAATGCTTAATTGTTTGCCAATGTTATTTCTGTGCCTGTTAAGCACCCTGGGTTGCTTCTGTAGGATTAGTTCTTTATAAATAAATTTGCCTTGCCTTGATTATTCTAAGAGCTCGGTGTAGGAGTCTGGATTCAAAGAGAACCTCCAGAACAGGCAGCTCACAGTCCTCTTTGCAGAGCGGAGCACCTTGTACAGAACTCTCCTTTCTTTGGCTGTGATGTCACCAAACCACAGAGTCACAGAACCAACAAGCAAACTTTCAATGGTTCGTCAGGATCTTAGAGTTTGTGGTCAATTCTCTAAGTTTCGGCAGAAAGTAGAGGCGCTTACTAGCTACAATGCTAACTAGCTACTGTATCTCACTGAAGCCTGATAAGCAAGTTTTCTCCCAGTTCGCTCTGGCTTCCGTTGACTGACATCGAAAATTGAACTCCTCTTCCTTAGTATCCGTTTGCGTCACCCTCACCATTTTGGGCGCCCATCTTTTAGCACTCTCCATGATCCTGGTGTGTATATTTTTAGATATTGTCTTTGTCAATCCCGATATGAGCCAGATAAACATTGACCAATCAGATGCCATCATTTGTGTGTGTGTGTGTGTGTGTGTGTGCAAGTCTGCTCCTGTTACAATATGAAGCTTACGCCGTCAGTCCAAGTGCCCATATAAGGATATTGACTCCAGCTAACTTATTTACAAATTGGCTTTTGGCAAACACTATGGTTTTTGATGAACTTCCCTATTGGGTTTTAGCATCGTCCGTGTATGTCGTGCACACTCTATTTGTTTAGTTTAGTTAAGGGGGAGAGATGCAGCGTCTCAGGTTAATTTTTGTCTGTCCCTGATGTTTGAAGAAAAATCCTAAACATTCATGGGAAATGACATATAGGCAGGTTTGTTCATACCGACTAGTTTTATCAGTTGTTGCCACCCTTCTATTTGCATGTATAAGGCACTTTTTTTTTACTTCAGGCTTTGACACTGGGGTAGTCTTGCACAATTTTTCCAATGTGGTTTTACTGCAAATGGAAAATAAATTCTTGAATCTTGTCATGCAGGTAAGGCCACTTTAGTTCTGATTTACATGACCGTGTAAACATTTGTGATTTGTGATCATGACAATGTATGTTTCCATAAGTAAAGAGAGAATGAACTGAACATTAATATTTAAAAAAAAATTCTTAACAACATTCCTCTGCAATGTTTTACAGTGCAATATTTGAGTTTTCCATTTTGAAAATTTGAGAAAACATTGCTAAAATCTTTAACATGTTTTGTTTTTAGCAGTAATTTTTATTTTCTCAAGAAAGGGGAAAAGTTTGATGGTACTAAAATACAAAAAATATTGTAAGCCTTTCAAATGTTATTCTAATGGCATTTATCTGAACTATTCATTTATTCATGATTTTGCTCAGTGGCCAAATATGCACAAGCATTTCAACACGTCCTGTTCGTCAAGAGGATGGTCTTTTCAATCATGTCTTTTCCACACTCCCCTTCCTCCTCCGCTAACCCCTCTCCCCTCATAAATCTGTGTCCTCATTCCTTCTCTCCAGCACCTCCAGCCTGCTGCACTTGCCTCACCTCACCTACCCTCCACCGGTGCACTGCTCCCTGGGTCATATCATGTGATTAAGGTGCCTTTAGCCACTGTACTGTCTGACCCACAAGCAGAGCATATGGCCTCTTGGGAAACAAATCTCAAGTTCTCACTCCACGGTACTCCTGTTCTTCCACTGTAGACTACAATCCAGGCCAAGGAAGCTAATACCTCTTCCAATGTGTAAATGGGAATGATATGTGGTACATGTTTGCTAATACATTGTATCGATGTTGAGTTAAGTAGAAGGGACTAAAAAATATGTTTGTGACCGGTAGAGACAACCCAGTGGTGATGTTACCAAATGGCGTGTATTGTAAAGTGTGTATATGAACAACCGTAATAATTTAAGGCATATTGAAATTTGATACATGTTTTCATTTATAAAAAGAATGTTGTGTTGTTTGTCTCAAAGAAAACTTGCAAAAAATAACACTTTGTTCAAATCAGACCACATACTGCTGTCTCTGTCTTATTAGAGGGTGCCTTTTGCGAAAGAGCTGTGTGTGTCACTTTTTGACAAGTTGGGGCAGAGGGCTGAAAAAGTCTGGAAAAAGCTGATCAAAAGAAGTGACGGTGACTGACGATACATGCATGCAAAAAACCAAACCAAGAATGAGGCGCTGGTTGGGTGGTGTAGTGAAAAGGTACAGAATTGTTGTTGAATAAATGTAATAATAATACAAACAATAGAAATCATATCTCACAACCCCTGTGCAATTTGGCGTTCCCACACACCTTCTTGATTCCTGACCTTTGCTTTGAGAAATCACCGCCCAGATCACTATTGCACTGGGTTATATTTTTTATCAAGTATAATTGGGCTTAAACTCATTAATATTTGCACACAGGTATGCACACACACACACACACACACAGGGACTCACATACATACCAGCCTCTTCTCACACTCACTTAGGTTCCCCCCACACAAACTGTCACATGTCACTAGAGAGGCGTCTATCCCCCCCCCCCCCCCCCCCCGGAGCTCCTGGCATAAGTACAAGTCATTATTTCCCCAGTAAAGGTCAGCCACCCTCTCACCTGGCTCCTGAGCTGAGCCGAATCCAGCCGCTCATGAGACAGTGGCCAAATGACCCGGGGTGCGGCGCAGATATAGGTGTATTTATGTCTATGAAGTGCAGGTAATTGGCTGCAGGGAGCTCCATAATGAGCCAGGGGCACTGTAATATATGACACATCTTAAGAGGAGAAATATTCTAATGGGCAATTACAGCAAGCAGAAGTGTGTTTTGGTACTAGTGAGTTATTGTGGTGGAGGGAAAGCACTCAGTGGCATTTAACATCTATTATGTGAGAGAATGAGGGCCTCAAAGATCTAGGAGGAAAGTGAAATGGATAAAAACTGATTAAAATATCTGGTGGTATTCACAGACAAAAGTAAGTAATTATCGTGAAAGAATAGACCAGGTTGCGGAATCAAATCCATCTTATTTTACCTAGGGATTGATGTTATTGTTGTATCGATTTAGAATAATCAATTGTATGTATTTTTTTATATAATTGATTGTGTACATGACTGTGTACACTAGGATCCTCTAGAATATTGTTCAGAAATCATTTATTTATCTGTTTTGTTTGCATATATTGAATGTGCACATGTGCAACAACACATTACTACACTACATTGAAATCTGCAGAAAACATTTAAGACTAAAATATTTGCAGATAAGATTAGAATTAGAATTTGATCACATTTTACATTCCCTTTGTAGCAGGTTCTCTTAAACAGCTTTCCTGCCTCACTGTACATGTATGTATAGCGTATAGCCAACATATAATAATTCACTTGTGTATATGTTTTTAATGTGAAGCTATTTGTGACTCACTGAAAAGCACTGCATACATAAACCTCATTTAGAAAAGCAAACTAATATTTTATACATGGTCCAATTCCTGGTCTTTGTATAGCTGTAGTAGTCACAGAGTTGATTTTATTGTGAGTCAATAATTAACAGACTCTTTAAATCATGTGCCACCACCCACAGCACTGTTTAATTCAGCACGCTTCATATGCTTGCTTACATCGGACGATTTGGCCTCTGGCGATGCCTCCAACTCCACCCGGCTCCATCTCAGAATCACACTCCCAGTAACCACCTGACCGTCCAGTCAGCCCTGACACTGACCTACACCAGCATAACAATGCACTGCTCCTCTCCTTCACTCACCCCAAATGCTCTGACTATAGATGAGGTTAACTACAGCACTTGCACGAGTCACCCGGCCCAATTATATGAGGCTGACTACTCCTCCTCCTCCACCACCTGAGCACTGTGGTGTGGAAAACGCAGTTCCACTGGCTGCATCACCGGGGACAGAACAGGCTGGTGCTGTCTGGAGCCTGAACCAAGCACAGACCAATTTGGCATGCAGAGGTCTATGGAGAATAAGGTTGATGAAATATATATATGATCTTCTTCAAACATGTATTGTTCCGCACTGCTGTGTCTTATCAGGCCGGTTTCCAGCTGATGTGCTCCAGGTTTGGCAGGGCGAGTCTTTACAGCGCCGAGACGGGATAGGAAAGGCACAGGGAATGTTAAGGCGCGTCACACATAGCAGCACAGACAAGACATGTCAAAAGTTTGGAGACCTTGAAACTCAAAGATAAAAAGGAAAACCATTATACAAAAGGATATGTGAGCAATATTTTGCATCATATCAGCAAAAAATACCAGGGAGCTCATTATCATTTCCAATAAATAGTTATCTTAACATTTTCATATCGAGTAATTACATTTGGGTTTGGCACTCATTTAACTAACATATGTTTTAGACTGCACTGACCTCTGTCTGTCACAGAGGGAACTGCATTTTTGTTTTGTTAAATTAACCTCATTATACACATTACAAACACTGTAAGGACACAAAGATCAGACAAGATATAATTTATTAATTAACTGCAGCAATTTACACAAAGAATTTTCAGACAATAATACTAATGATGGTGCTGCTGTTTGAACTGCAAGCCACAGTAGCCACACGTGCCCACTTTTGTGTCCTTATCCTGCAGCGGGAGTAGAGGGCAGAAAACTGATCAGTGAAATTAAGAAACACACAGCCAAACAGATGAGTGAAGTGGTACAGAGATCTTTACCAGATTGATGTAGACTTTGGGATGGCCCAGGGCACCACCACCGCCATCGCACGACACCACTCTGGCCTCGATGTGGCTTACTTCCTCTTCTGCCACCAAACTAATGGCAAAATTTTTATTCACCTTAAAATAAACAAACAAAAAATAGCATGTATACTTTGTATAGAACACAAATATCATATTGGCATCATTTCAGGATCCTTTGAGGATCTACTTGTAACAGTGTGCAGATATGCAGGTTAGCGACACGCACAGATACAAATACATACGCCTAGAATACATATTTTAAACGCCCATTTTGAGAAATTATTAGTCAGAATACACAGAATATATGGCAGCACTCGATCATGCAATTTAGAAGAGATTGGGGCAGGGCAATATCAGAATACAGTATAATTCAATTTATACTTCCCCTTTAGACGTTTTAAATTTTATATATATATATTTACTCTTTCCAAACACATTGTTTGATAACAACAAGTTGTATTAATAAGTTATTTTTAATTTAAAAAAAATAATAGTTTAATCATTTTTGATTAGTAATTGCACGACTTTGCTAATTTACAAGGCCCAAGAAGCAGAGGCAGAACTGAAGAAGAAACTCAGGCTTGGAAAAAATGTAAAATGAAATGTTTAATGATGAATTTAGTGTGTAATACGTCCCAATTCAACAACAACAAAAATGCATTGCAAGTACTTCAAAACAAAGTTCTTGTGATTAATTTTACATTACCACAAGTTTAAAAAGTATTTAGAATACAGTGCTCTGATTGGACAATGCACACGATTTGAAGCAGCAGAAATCACAGTAGTACTGGGGTCAAAGTATACCTCTTTTTGCCTTCCCACAAATCGCGCTCTTCTGGGATCATTTTCATCAAACACCTAAAAAAGAAATTGAATAAGGTTAATTGGTGTGCTAACAGTTAGCATAGCCTGCACAGGGGCGGTGTGTGCAGTCCTCGGACACTAAACATCTTTACCTGACCAGTGTGAGTGATCTTCTCTCCGGTGCTGGAAACCTCCAGGCTGTAGCGGTGAGCAGAAACCACATTCACTCTCAACGGTGAAACCAGCACCTTTGCATGTTTACTGAAGGACAGCAGTCTACCCACGGAGGCCGCCATAATCACAACAACTAGCTTTCCCAGGCTTCTTTGCGGCGTTAAGTTTTCGCCCCATATTTTGCCTTCGACTACCGATCCTCACTCTAATTTGGTTGATGTTGTCCATGATAAGAGACATGTACTAATAGCATTGAGGTAAGGTAGTAGACAGTAAATGTAACACTTATATATAATACGCAATTGGACTGCATTCCTTATGAAAAATAAATAATGGGACTAATCTCGCCTGGCAGTCACTTCTCTGGGTTTAAACTCCGCTGTTCCTGTGTCCTCGATGAGGCACAGTAGCACAAGCAAACAGCGTGTGTTTTTTACGTGTTTGAGGAGGAAAAGCGTTACCTAAACAAAATATACAGTGGAAAGGGTACGTATAGAACCATATCACAGTACCATATCATAGTTTAAATTATGTCAATCAGTTCTGACGTTTATCACCGTCTTAGCATGTTGGTAGCTAGCTAAAATAATTCATTGCCCTGCCTTGGCACCTGAATATTTAGCATTTAGCACAGTATGTTCGTAAATTCAGTGCCTCTAAATTGTGTTATTTGGATAATCGCGTAATGATGGACTATTAAGAACTCCATCCATCCATCCATCCATTTTCTACCCTTTAATCCATTTCTGGGTCAGGGGGGTGGCAATCAGAGATGCCACCCAAGTCTCATAGCACCAGCCCCTCACTGACCCTCTGCAGGTGGTGAGTCCACAGGAGGACGGCTGCTCTCTGAGTGTGAGCATAGCCTTGATCTTTCAGTGGGGGCTTTGGGCCAAGTGGGGTAAAGTGTCTTGCCCAAGGACACAACGACAGCAGTCATCAGTGGGAGTCGGTGGAGAAGGTGGAGATGCGGGAATTGAACCCACAACCCACTGGCCTTAAGGCCAATGCTCTACCAACTGAGCTACTGTCACCCTTATTAAGAACTCGATTATGTTTGTTATTATGTTAATGGACTTCATTTTAGACTTCTTTTCTATCAAAAACAATTCTGCCGAAGCTTGCAGGTGGCTACTCTTTGTACATAGATTATATTATTTTTGTTATGGGCAAAAAACTTGTATTGTTGACTGATCATGAACTTATTGCAAATTTGATTACAGGTTAGTACATACAGTCTATGGTTGGTACACTTGTCAACTTGTTTACTATTTAATTTAGACTATTGTATCATTTCCTCCCCACAGAGCTCTTAGAGGATGGCTGCAATACTCTTCAGACAAATGGCTTCGTCACTGACTCGTCAAGTTATCCACATCAACAGATTTTCGATGATGCTCACGTCATCAATGGCAACATCCTTCAGATGTTTTCGGACCCTGTCAGCAGCTCCCAGCTCACTGCTTTGGTCTTCAGCCAGAATAAACTCTGTGCAACCACTGGGACAATGTGATTCTCTGCCCTGTCTCCAGCCCTGTGCCGGCATGAAGACCAAAAGTGCGTTGAAGCGACGCTGCAAAGACTGTTTCTTTGTGCGACGCAGAGGACGTTTGTTTGTCTACTGCAAGACACATCCAAGACATAAGCAGAGGCAAGGCTGAAATGTGTCGTTCATTAATGCAACTATGACTTCGAGACGTTTTCTTCCAAATATACTAGAACCATCTTTAATTCTATATGTGGATGTACTGTAAAATACAATAAACTTGATGAAAACGTTACTATGCCTCCTATCTGAGTGTGTTCACAGTAAAGTGACAATTGAAGTATCTGGACTTTAAAAGGTTATAACTTAAAAACTAAAATTACTTTCATTGATTGGAAAAAAGATTTCAAACACAGACACATTGAAGAGATAGTGTGGAAAAAATCTAAAGGAAAGATTGACATAAAAATGTTTAGCAACATTTTAAACGACCAAATCAGCCTCTGATTGGACCATTCTACTGTGACGCCAGTTACATAGAAAATAAAATTTCCTCAGTCTGAAAAAGCAGAAGATGAAATCCCACAAGATTTACATGGTTAACACAACAGAAGGAAATCACTTGATATAAAAAGGAATCGTGAAAAAATAAAAATGAATTAATTAATTAAATGACCCCTGAAAAATGTATAACGGACGTGATGAGGACGGTCCTCTTTTCTCTAAAAATTAAACTTGAGAAGAAAAAAAATCTGGTCTGTTTTCACATTTAATTGGTTGACAATATGAAAGTATCACATTGCATCTACTTTGTGTAAAAAAGTAGAATCTCTGAATCAAATGTGGACATCTGAAAATACCAAACTTGCACAAAGCTCATTCCGTCAAATCATCACGTCCGTTAGATAAAATAAACAGGGCCGCTATAGGAAACTTGTCTAATGTATAAAACAGTTATGTTCTAGCAACTTCTAATGGACAGAGGAGGTGCTTGGAAACATGAAAAACATAAAATATCTTCTGATTATTAAAATCTAATTGTTGGCCTTTTGTCACACTTTTGTGCCCTTTAGTGTGAACAAGCCCATCTATGAACTCACAATAATGGGAAGTAGATAAAATATTAATCTCTTGCATTTTTTGAAAATGTATATAAAAAAAAGAATTATACTTTAGTCAAAACATACCAAAGTACCTATAATTAAAAATTGTGATGGAGAACAGTTGAAAACCTTTTCCTGCGCAAAAGTCAGGTGTTCTAGTCGTAGTTTAGAGCTAATTTCATTCCTGGGCCATTCCACGTGAATCAAAAACGGTCACAACAAAAAGTCTTTTAAAAGAAAAATGAACAAATTGCACCACAGGATGCTTTAGCGTACTTATGTAAGAAATGATGTGTGACAGAGGACAAAGCTACATGCATGTGCAAAAATAGTGGTAGAAACAAACTGGAGCACGAATAAGTATTTTTTCACACAGTCGTTGTTGTCATTTTGAAGAAGAAATAATATGTTTAACCAGAAGAGGGCGCCATTTCATCACATTGAAAACCAAATGCTGTAAACGCTGGATCTATGGCGAAAACGAAAACAAATAAACATAATACGGAAGCATATATTCTAAATTAGCACAGAACACACGGATACTCTTTGCAGACGGATTAATATATATAAAAAAATAATGTATAGCGGTGTAAAATCCTTTCTCTTTTATCTTGAAACGAGTTATAGGAACTTGGCATTCATTTCCCCTGTCAGAATGCGCTCCTCCCTCCACACGAGAGCTGAGTTGCGCACAGAGAATGACACCGCCACTCTGTTAAAAACAAAGCTGGTAAACTGCAACCAGACTTTCCCTCGTAGAAGCAGTTCTTAAGTTTTCATTATTTTCTCTGCCACTATGAGGTCGTCAAACAGCCGCCCCTCCAGGATCTCCAAAAACCCATTCATCTCCAAAGTGGAACTGACCACAGCGCAGAAAGTACAGGTAAGCAAAGAGCAGTAGGTAAGTTCTCATGTTTACTATATTTGCATTGGATTAGGAACCAGTCACTGCAATTAAATACTTGGGTTGGGGATCTAAATATCATTGTGGTTCCCAGTTGATTAATTATCACATAACTAAATTATAGTGAATAATTACAGTGAAGCACCATATGTTTCCTTTCAGCAAGTAAGTAAGTTTATATTTGTGACTTTGCCTTTTGGCTCTGAATTAGAACATATCCTAGAAGTATAGTTAGTTTTACAATAATCACACTTCATGATAAACTAATACTTTTCCAGTGTGAAAATCCTCAGTATAGTGTGTATACTTCTGACACAGACAAGACTCATGCATGTGCACTGGAAGTTAGGGAGTTGACATGCTTTTGTTTACATAGTCTTGTTCTTATAATCCTAGAGTTTACACAAACTGGTTATTATATTGTGAAAATCCTGCACATCAAATGAATGTTAAATAAATTCTTTTTCAGACTAATTTGACATATGTCCCCAACTGAAATACTTCCCCATATAAGTCAAAGGAATGTATTATGATGGTAATTAGTGAGTTTCCCAATCATAAAAGCAGCCAGCACTCAACAAGAATCCAGATATTCAAGCCTGGATGTTTACAGTTGCTAGTAGTATTGCTGGTCCATTTCCAATATGCCAGTACTAGTCGTTCTCTTGTGCTATGTTAAAATGTTTGTTTGGTGACGGAATAGGCTACTAGAGTCTGGTTGTGGGTAACCCTGAAGCTTTTAAAGCCCCCAACTCATCAAAAAGAATACACCCAAAATATTTACTTTCTCTAAAGGTCATGGTACTGTTCAAACATGGGTGGTGTGTACTTTGTTAAAGTCATTAACTGAGTTTACAACAATTGTCATTGTCTCAGTTATGACCATAGGCCTAGACACCACCACCCATTGGCCCCTTATCCACAGGGCCCACCATAGTCAAGGGCCTATCAGAATTAAGAGGGGAAAAAATAAAATAAAATCCAATATGTGATTTTCTATGTTCAACAAAACTTTGAGACATGACTAACCTATAACTCACTACATCAGGTCTACTGTTCCAGTAGTAGAACCCCCCCCCCATCAACCATATAATTTCTGCTTAGAATATATTGTTTTCACAAGTATATTTTCTATAACATGAAATGTCGTGTTCTATAAAACTACCGTAATATTTCATTTCCTTTACTTTCAGATTGGATTGATGTCTGTCACAGTCTTCCCAGTGCGGCTTCTGCTTGGATTGTTTTTCATGATGGTGGCTTGGGCCTTCTGTTATCTGGGCTCATTAGAGGGTTCAGAATTGAAGGTCGAGAAAAAGACATTGCGGAAAAGGTGACACAGCTTCTTTGTGCATAAATGTTGATTAGATATGGACAAAAACGTTATCGTCTTTCCTCAGAATTTTGGATGTTTGCGTTCGATTATCAATGCGAACTCTGTGGTTTTGTTGTGGGTTCCATTGGCTGAAAGTGAAGGGTAAAATGGCAGACGTCTCTGAAGCACCTATCCTGGTTGTGGCACCACACTCTGCTTTCTTTGACGCCATTCCTGTCTCCGAAACTCTGTGCACATTTGTCACAAAGGAATCAGGAAAGAATGTTCCTGTCTGGGGAAGTATGTACACAACTATTTGCCAGTATCAGTTTTTTTCCATATTGTGCCACCAATAAACATCTTTTTTTTTTAATTTGCCTACAGCGATAATCCAGTATGTCAAACCTGTGTATGTGTCCCGTGCTGACCAGGACTCCAGGAAAAGGACTGTGGAGGAGATCAAACGCAGAGTCACTTCTGGAGAACCGTGGCCTCAGGTAAACAAGCAAAACACAATAAACCTGAAGGCACTACCGGAAACGTCTCTGTATATTCAGGTTGTCAAAAAATAGCTAGATATTCAGCAGTGTTTCCCATTATCATACATCAGCCATTACAATTAGAATTCATTTTTGAAAATGCATATTTCTGACTTAGAGATTCTGTACTACAATGTACAGCATTAAAACAGTCACGTCCATTGGCATAAGCACCACTAATAATAGTAGACGGGGCTGGAGTGCTTCTTGGATGTAAAAATTAAATAAGGAAAAAAGTAAACTTTTGGTGCTCGTCAGTGGAGGGACCAATGTTGAAAGTTCAGACAGAAGACTGAGGCACTCAAAAGTTACAAAAATCTGTAAAAGCCTTTATTTCACATGTCAAAAGAGGTTAAAATTACGCCTACTCATTTTGCCCTGAAGAAGGCCAGAAGGCTGAGACGCGAAATAAAGGCTTTTAAAGATTTTTGTAACTTTTGAGTGCCTCAGTCTTCTGTCTGCACCACTAATAATATTTGCTAAAGGGAGACAGTTAAACCAATGACTTACAGTAGGGTTCCAAGGATTTGATCTCGGCCAATACAAAAGCTGCGAAGGTGAGCTTTCTTCACAGTTGAAAAGTAACATTTACTTTAAAGCTACTCTATTTTTAGTTTTTTGGCCAACACATGTGAGACAAAGGTCACAAAGTTCTTTGTCAGCATACATATTGATACATCATATCAACGTCTATTTATATGTGTGTTTGAAAGTGGTGAGAATATTCAAGACTTTCAGACATAATGTGAAGAATAACATGGAGTGTTTGTGAATCTAATCGCTGTGCTCATTGGAAAAAAATCTACTATTATTTCAAACATTGCTATTATCCCATAAATTTATATTACCACTCGCCCACCAACAGTAATGTAAATACAATATTCTGTCCTGATTCCCATTAAACTGTAGCTACTTTTGACCCTCCAGTTCTCCATCTTTTTAATTGTAATGTATGTGCTGCTGTGTCCCAAGTGTTTCCCCTCTGAATCAATACAAGTTATTCAAGTCTTACGTAGTTGAATCACATCTTTTTTTTTCAGGTTATGGTTTTTCCAGAGGGGACGTGCACAAACAGGGCAGGACTTATCTCATTCAAAGCAGGTAAAGGCTGTGTGTCAAACAATGTACTTACTAAATACAACAAATGAACAATACACAATCATCTGTTTCTTCTTTTCTTGTTATATATATTTTGATATATACGAGCCTGTTCCAAATTGAGCTTGTCACATCCTATTTTTGTGAATTTGTTAAGAACACTGGGGCATTGTTGCTCAATATTTACAGTGTGCCATCCCCATTCCCGCCCTGGTTACACAGCCGTATGTTCTTTGTACATTGTTCTGTTGATACACCGTCTGATCCCCTTTCTTTCACTATTCTGTGGTTTTCACTAAGCCATAGTCTGTCCCTGTCCGTCTCCACTCTCTGAACTACATCACGTGAACTGGCCTTGTTATGATCGCAACTACTGTACATCTCTCGAGTTAAATCTGGGGTACCTAATTTTTGGATTCGTAATGATTCAGAAAAAGTCTCGCAAAAGTAAAATGTTGTGAACAAATCAAACCGCAACATGCTATCTTTATCTTTTTCTAAAATGTTTTCTCGTGAGACAGACCTTTTATGAGTCACTATTGGATACTTTGGACTGAGAGATGATTGGCCGAGTGAGGGGTGGTCCTCGGTTTTTACACTTTTCCGTCTGAAAAAGCTGATCGAAAGATGTGACCGTATACCTGTATATTGCCAAAAAGACATGCGTGCAAACTCTGAGTGTGTTTTGGACGTGCATGCAGTGAAAAAAACACAAAAATATGTACTATTGTTAGGTAGTTAGCTAGAAATGTTTATAATTCATCTACTTACAGTGCCTTGCGAATTTTCAAGAATCAACAACAAGTGGGACACAATTGTGAAGTGGAACGAAATTTATTGGATAATTTAAACTTTTTTAACAAATAAAAATCTGAAAAGTGGGGCGTGCAATATTATTCGGCCCCCTTGCGCTAATACTTTGTAGCGCCACCTTTTGCTGCAATTACAGCTGCAAGTCGCTTGGGGTATGTCTCTATCAGTTTTGCACATAGAGAGACTGGAATTCTTGCCCATTCTTCCTTGCAAAATAGCTCGAGCTCAGTGAGGTTGGATGGAGAGCGTTTGTGAACAGCAGTCAGCTCTTTCCACAGATTCTCGATTGGATTCAGGTCTGGACTTTGACTTGGCCATTCTAAGACCTGGATACGTCTATTTGTGAACCATTCCATTGTAGTTTTGGCTTTATGTTTTGGATCATTGTCCTGTTGGAAGATAAACCTCCGTCCCAGTCTCAGGTCTTTTGCAGACTCCAACAGGTTTTCTTCCAGAATGGTCCTGTATTTGGCTCCATCCATCTTCCCATCAATTTTCGCCATCTTCCCTGTCCCTGCTGAAGAAAAGCAGGCCCAAAGCATGATGCTGCCACCACCATGTTTGACAGTGGGGATGGTGTGTTCAGGGTGATGAGCTGTGTTGCTTTTACGCCAAACATATCGTTTTGCGTTGTGGCCAAAAAGTTCGATTTTGGTTTCATCTGACCAGAGCACCTTCTTCCACATGTTTGGTGTGTCTCCCAGGTGGCTTGTGGCAAACTTTAAACGAGATTTTTTATGGATATCTTTGAGAAATGGCTTTCTTCTTGCCACTCTTCCATAAAGGCCAGATTTGTGCAGTGCACGACTGATTGTTGTCCTATGGACAGACTCTCCCACCTCAGCTGTAGTTATCTGCAGTTCATCCAGAGTGATCATGGGCCTCTTGTCTGCATCTCTGATCAGTCTTCTCCTTGTTTGAGATGAAAGTTTGGAGGGACGGCCGGGTCTTGGTAGATTTGCAGTGGTCTGATACTCCTTCCATTTCAATATAATTGCTTGTACAGTGCTCCTTGAGATGTTTAAAGCTTGGGAAATCTTTTTGTATCCAAATCCGGCTTTAAACTTCTCCACAACAGTATCTCGGACCTGCCTGGTGTGTTCATTTGTCTTCATGGTTCTCTCTGCGCTTTAAACAGAACCCTGAGACTATCAAAGAGCAGGTGCATTTATACAGAGACTTGATTACACACATGTGCATTCTATTTATCATCATCAGTCATTTAGGACAACATTGGATCATTCAAAGATCCTCACTGAACTTCTGGAGTGAGTTTGCTGCACTGAAAGTAAAGGGGCCGAATAATATTGCACGCCCCACTTTTCAGTTTTTATCTGTTGAAAAAGTTTAAATTATCCAATAAATTTTTTTCCAAAAAAAATTCTATATCTTTATGTTTGAAGCCTGAAATGTTGCGAAGTGTTGAAAGGTCATATACTTTCGCAAGGCACTGTATGTGTTTATGGATGAGTCTTGGAACTAGTTACCTGGATTTTTATTTTTTTCAAAGTGGTTTGAAACTTAGGTGCCCCAGCTTTAAAGGTTACCATGGAGGTGCTTCAAATTAGGGCTGTAATTAACTATTATTTTTGAAAGTCGATTAGTTGGGAGATTTATTCTCCAATGAATCATTTAGTTATTTCAATCCATTGAATAACAGGCTTTTAGATAATAATAATAATGTGACCAAAATGCCGCTTGAACATCTTCTAGATCAGGGATGTCAAAGTCAAATACATCAGAGGGCCAGAAAAAACAAATTTGCTACAAGCCGAGGGCCAGACTGATTCAATGATTATTAAAACATATTAAAATGATGCATATAACCTATTGAACCAAGACCTAGTGGACCTTATTAGATGAATAATATAATATTTGTGTATGGCTCTGTCAGTAATTTCAAGTGAAAACATTTTTAAACAGGCTCACAGACAAAAACAAACTTCGTTCAAAGAGAAAACACATTTTCTGAACATTACATTTCTTTTGGCTCTGTGCGGCCAGTTCTAATGCTAACCAAATATCAGTTATTTGGTTAGCATCAAGATAATTCATTCGCTGGCTGGATCTGGCTCCTGGGCCTTGACTTTGACACCCATGTTCTAGATGTAACACAATTATGTTGTTGTTTACACAATTTTATGTCATTCTGTTGTAATTATAGCTCTGTCGGAGTCATCAAATCTCTTAAGGACATATTTTGGGTTCAGGTTTTGATCGATCGGTTGCAATAAAGGGATTCACTTGTTTCATCCCTACGTTGAATGTACCACAGTATGATATATCACATTATACAACATTATATCATTAATACAGATGTTTTTACACTTCTATGTGCCTTCAGTTTGTTCAGGTAGCTTTTTACAGTGTATTAACTCCAGTTTTCCCTTGTTGTCCCAGGTGCCTTCATCCCGGGACTTCCTGTTCAGCCAGTTGTTCTGCGATATCCCAACAAACTGGTATGTGTTTGAACCCACTTTTTAAAGCAAATTGTCATAAACAAACATTGTGGCAGACAGTAACAAACAGTCTGGGATCAAAGTTTTATTGGGGAAAGGTTAGAGTCAGGTTTGGCGATAGAGGTTAGGGTTTGGGTTCACTGTGGTCAGGAGTAGGACAAGAGTTAGGTTTAGGGTCAAGGATAGTCCAAGATGAGCTAAACCTAACTCTTGTCCTACTCCTAAACTGTTAAATGTGCGATGACATGCGGCAGACGTAAGGACAACTTCAAATATTGAACAGCAACACAAATATTTCTCACACATGAATACAAACAGTGACGTAGGGTTGAACATTTGAATTGGCAGTTTGCATTGAGAATTGGTTTATTGAGTCAGAATGACGTGTGAGTCTGATATTTTCCAGTAAGGAGATTTCAACAAGTTATTAAACAAGAATACGTGAATGTAGCAGGGGTGCAAATGTTTGGAGACCCTGATTCAAAATATCTATGGACAGTAGACCAGCCCTCTTTTGATGCCATGATTCCTCGTTTTCTAATGTGAGTAATTTCATGTCCCTAGTTTGATTCTTTTCGTCTTTCCAACTTCAGCTGATGGTTGGAGTCTGCGTGCTGCATTACATTAACTAATACATTTACAATTATGGTCAAAAAAGTCAGGAGAAGAAAATTGCTTCTGCGTCCTTCACACAAATCTCTCTGTTCAACTGTAAGTGTGAGGGTGGATCCAAGAGCAGATGATTTTAACAGATTTTTGAAGCACATTTAATATAAAAACAGAAAAAAAACGGATGGATTGCAGCAGGAGGTGCAAGCTGACTGTTTTTGCAATAGTTTTCATCTGTGGCTTGGTCTCACGAGTGCACGCATGACCGCTCAAAATTCTCTCAGAACTAGAAGACTGGACAAAAATCCCTCGAACTATAGTTGAGCGACTCTGAAACGTGTTGACAGGCTGTTATATCCACTAAAAGGGGTGTGGGGTTGCTGGAACTAACTCTACAAAGTTCCCAAACCTCTTCATCCACCTTGGTTCATTCTCAGGTGGTAACATCTATATAAAAAAAGAGGAACTGAAATACATGCAATGACAAAATAATGACTATACCCGATATCATACTTGTTCACACCAATATATCACCGCATTTTCCCCAGGGTTTGCTTAAAGGAGTAGCTCTCTGCCTTTATCGTCGTGGAAAAGTAGCTCTCTGGGTGAAAAAGTTTGGAGACACCTGCTCTATTTATAATGCTGTTTTTTGCTCATTTACCAAATATTTTTCAGGCAATCCCCAGAGTGTCCTGTTTTAGCCTGTTTTTAGACTTAGTCCCAGTATGTGTGTCAGAACCTGGAAGACAATATGTTTTCTTTACCATATTGTGCCCAACCCTGCACAGTATGTGTTCTATTATCAGTGAGCTCACAGTGTCACAGATCCCAGCCCCAAAAACACGTGTCATGGTGCCCCTGTCCCTCTCCACTGCCCCCTTGTGTTGAATGACTGCATGTTTAGTATAGGAGTGATATTTCATCCCTCATCCATCAGCCTCACTCACACAGCCCTACAGCTATCATGTGTCCCATTCAGCACCTCCTCTGTCTCTCTAATCAATTATACATCCCTTATTTAACACTGTTTCCCCGAAAGCCCAGTTACACACCAGGTTATAGTTCACTGTACAGATTTGACCAAAAGATTAAGTTAAGTAACCTAAACGTCTCTCATAATGGGCTAATGCAGAACAGTAGGAATATTGGGAGCACTCAAAAAGCTGTATTTCAACAATTACGTTAAAGGATAGAAATAGTAAGTACAATATACCAATAGACAAATGTTGATGTCAATGTCAGCTAATTTTGTAAAGCACATTTACAACAACACAAGCTGCTTCACAGGCACAAGAGATCAAAAATATAAGTATATGCAAAAGAAAAGCAATTGGGGTTGCATACTACTTTTACAGTAATCGTTATGCAAGAGATTATTTGCATGTGCGCATAACGACTCATTAGAAAGTGACTCCAGTGAGTTTTCATTGGACAAATACAACATGAAAATTATTAGTATTACGACTCTATATTTTTTCTATATTACTACAGGTAAATTACATGTTTTAGGGTGCCCTGTTGCTCTCTGCTGCTCTCTGCTGCCCCATTCACACTCTGGGTCATCGCTCCAACAGCATCAGAAACAGATAACTCCTCACCGGTGTCAACCACTTCAAAAACTAGCCATAGAAAAGGGCAGAGCTGGTCGAGTACTTAGCACTTTCTGGTACTCAGCATGCGTTCCCGTTTAGGTGGTTTCACTGCGTGTGACTCTCTCTGTGCTCATTGTGGGTCTCCAGGCCTCTTCTCTCCATCTCACCTTCTGACCTAGCCTGGCCTCAGCCGTCCGTAAAAACTCTGGTCAATTATCATGCATGTACGTCTGGGTCTGATCTTAGTGGCTGCGGTTATCTCGGTTGTATCCCGATCATGCAGCGATCGGGGGAGGCGGGTGTTGTGAGTAGGTTTTGGTGTTGTCAAGAGATTAGCTGGTTGTAGTTTGGTAATGGTAGCGAATGCGATTGAAAAGATATCCGTTCTGGTTCAGCTCCCAAAATCAAGAAAATTAAGTCATAAAATACAAGGGGTATTTTCTTGGATTATATAGTTTCTGACCTTCTCATACAAAGCAGGCTCATATTCTGGCCTGACTTCATTCTGAGACACTTTCTGTGGTTTTTCTTGGTCCTGATGGACGGCACGGTGGCTGAGTGGATAGCACTCTCGCCTCTCAGCAAGAAGGTCCTGGGTTCGAATCCCGGTCGGACCAGGGCCTTTCTGAGTGGAGTTTGCATGTTCTCCCCGTGTCTGCGTAGGTTTCCTCCGGGTACTCCGGTTTCCCCTACCACTAAAAATATGTCCAATAGTTCTGGCATGCGCCTCCTGTACTGGCGACCCCCCGTGGAGTGAGACAAGTGCCCAAAAATTAACAATTGTAAACCGCTTTGAGACTCAGATCTGCAGTGAAAAGGCGGTATATAAATAAAAAACTTACTAACTTACTTACTTACTGATGCTTCTGTGTCGTCTCTCCTTTTTACAGGATACCGTTACATGGACATGGCAAGGTCCTGGAGGGTGAGTGATTTATGGCTAAAAATCTTTCCTCATAATAATTGTTTTTATACTAAAAGGTCACAATTGATGCAGAAATAGACATGAATAAATATATACATTTTTTGTTGTTGTTTTTTAGGTTGAAAATCCTCTGGCTTACATTATGTCAGCTGCATAATGCGTTTGAGATTGAGGTAAGATTTGGAAAAGGAGGATACATTTTTGGTATTTTTTAAAGCACGTGTACAATGTCACTGTACGATATGAAATCACGGTACTACATTAAAAAAGTAATACACTTAAACACTAATTCGAAATTATACACTAATTCCTAAGATTTGTAAGTGCTTTGTTCTCCCAGGAAGCAAACGAGTTAAAACTATGGTAAAAACGTACATGTTATTTTAAACATACTTTTAAACTTCCCCTCACAAACTGTGGCTTATTTGACATTCAACTTAATGTTTTTTTAGACATGTAGATTTATTGCTTAATTATTCCGCTGTGTTTGTGGGAGTTTGAGCAAGGGACTAATGCACAACTTTCCTTCAAATTCAATGAAGTATTTATCTATCTATCTCTATCTAATTACCATTTATATTTACTACAGGACAAAATAAAGTCTAAATTAGAAAATCATACAATTCCGTTCATGAATGGATACATATTTTTTTGCAGTATTTGCCTGTGTACACACCATCACAAGAAGAAAAGGAAAACCCAGCTCTTTTTGCCAATAACGTCCGGATGCTGATGGCAAAGTGATTATCATTATCTTTTATTTTACTTTTAAAAACATGAATCAAACCTTGGTTAACACTTGCTTTCGTCCGTCTACCAGAGCTTTGGACGCGCCGCCCATTGACTTGTATTTTGACGATCGGGAAGTCATCATGTCCAGTGGTCCGTTGGGGATCTTCGACTTCAGTGGCCTGTTGGAGTTCAACCAGCTGGTGTACCGCCTCAGGTGAGAGCCACTGGGCCGACTGGTTTGGTCTGTGCGGTTTCTCCAGTTCAGGATGAAGAGCTGAGAGTATCGACAAACACTGACCCCTGGTGGAGAACAAATGAAACTCACCGGAGCAGCTGTGCCTTTTTAAAATCCATTACTTCAAACATTTCAGGACATATTTCCTTATCTACCCAAACCTTGAGACCTGTTTTTATATAACACATTTAGGAATAATTCATTAGATAATATCTATACTTTTTGTATTTATAGTTTTATATATAGTGCTTATTTGGACACTCATAGACGCTTCACATGTCATTATTCTCTCACTTTATACATAGTGGTGATAAAGTACTACTGTAGCCACAGCTGCCTTGGGGCACACAGACAGAAGTGAGGCAACCAGTATGTACCATCTGGCCACCACCAAGCAATCATGCACACACCAGACTCATTCTAGGCATTTTGGGTGAAGTGTCTTGCCTAAGGACACCATGACATTTACTAAAATCATCAAAATGGTAGTAAAGCACGAAATAAAACAGCCTGCTAAAGCTGAGGTACGTTTCATTTTGATTTGTAATGGTTTCATCTTTCTGTTGGGACAAACTCTTTCTGTTTGTCCCAACAGAAAGAGTCTAAACCATGAAAATGTAGCAATGTAATATAATCTAGGTCACCTCGGCTTTAGCACGTCTTTAGATCGTCTTTTTCAGACAGAAAAGTGAAAAGCAGGGCTCTTTCTGAGTATGCACAAGATGACATGTCTAAAAAGATGAAGAAAGCATGTTGTGGTCTGATTTATTCACAACATTTTACTTTTATAAGACTCTTTCTGTTGGGACAAACATCATATTGTTTATGGAGGAAAACAAAGTTAAGTACCCTAGCTTTAATATGTCGTACGTTATTAATAACAGTTTTCCCACTTGTTTTTAAACTAGACAAAGCAAGTTTCAATTCTTGTTTATTGTTGTAAGAAGTAATGTATTTTTTTTTCATTATTCCTGGTATATCACTTTTAAGAATCTGCAACACAAAACATTTAAAACATCATACATGTTTTGACAGACAAGGCATCCGATGGCCTTCTTCTCAGTCAAGTCGGAGAAACGTCTTTGCTACAGCTGCAATTCTAACATGTTTTTTTTTGCAGACTGAAATCTGCCACCAACGCCTCCTCATTGGAAGATCAGGCTGCGAAGGCCTGCAAGCTCAAGGGACAACTGTTGAATGTGGAAGACTTTGCTCAGTGCCTGAATCTACCTCTGAGCGACATACTCCGACAAGTGCACCGCATGTTTGATCAGGTTTGCACACAATAACTTTTCAGAATATAACAATACTTACACGACTATCCAACCATGCTTTGTAATGTCACAGGAAAATAATGGCCGCATTGACTACAGGCATTTTGTAATCGCTCTGTCGACGGTGTATCAGCCCACTAAGCCTAAGGACAACCTCAGACTGGCTTTCAAGGTAACTTCTAAAATGGTATTAAACGTACCGTCCTGTAACAACGCTATGTTTTGGGTTTAGATGTACCAGAATGATGAAGACGGAAGCGTGACAAAAGAGCACCTGGCCACCATCTTGGAAATAATGATGGGAGTGGAGAATATAGAATTAAGTGGACTATTTCTGTCTCTGGAGGAAGATTCTGGGAAGATCACCTATGGTTAGACCTGATTCAATAACGACTGACAACCAAAGTTTAAATGCATATACTAACTTTTCTCTTTTCCTTTCTTTCAGATAGGTTGTGCGAGTTTGTCGACGAACATCCAGATTTTATGTACAACTACATTCGGTTCAAGGACCACCCAAGAACGTTTTCCTCTGGTCGGAAAAAGCACTCTGACAATGACGATAAGAAAACACAATAAATGTAATGGCCTACAGTGTTGGGGTGAAACTTTGCTACAAACACTTGCAGTTACTTCTAATTCATATGTTCTTTGAAAACACTTGTAATTTAATTTCTGTTGCTCAAAATGTACATTGAGACGTATTAGTTAGTATCAAAACCGAACATCTGAAGTAAATAGAGCATTATGAATGTGGAAAAACCCACAACGACAATGAGCCAGAGACTGTGATGACGATGCTGCTGTGAGCGTCAGACACAGGTTGGCAGCTGCTTTCTCTTGGTTTTAAGTCATCTGAGTTGGTTTAACAACTCATAATAACTAGTAGATCATTACGCACAAATAAAGTATTCCTATTGCAATCTCACTAATTTACTGTAACTAAGTTGTTTGACTTTTAAAATTAGTAATATGTTACTAATTACTACTTTTAAAGAATCCCAACACTGACGGAAAATTCATTACACTGGGTGCCTTCATAAAGATTCACTCCAGGAATGTGGATATGACCCTGATACTGTGAAATAAGACTGTGACAAGTTTGGAGATGCAGACAGGTTCACTGCAGAGCTTTACAGAGGAACGACACATCCGAGATCCAGGACTCTGTGTGTACTCTGTGTTGCCAGGCTTCAATGCACAATCAGATGGAAAATAAGAACATGTACACCTCATGTTTGTTAAAGTCTATATATATATATATATATATATATATATATATATTGTTTGTTTATTCTTTAAATGTTGTATGCATTCTGTATTTGTGTAAGAAAAATGCTGTGTTTGAGAAAACCTAAGAAAAATCATTGTATTGAGCGATCTCGCTTCAGTGCAGGACATGAGCTTTTAAGGAGACCCCTGTCTTCACTGGCCACGCTACCAGGAATTTAAATATTATCGCTCTTCTGGGTTTTATATTGAGCCTGAGGCTGGTTATTTTTTTAACTTTAAACAATGGCATTTACTATTTATCTTTTTCTATTTTTGGTATTTGGGTCCATTGTTTTGTACATGACTTAAAAAATCACAATCAACAAATAAAACATGTTTATGTATTGTTTATTTCAAATGATAATTTTGTAATTGACGCTCATTTTGATATAATTAGTAGCAATAACTGCCTTGTACTTGACCATAATCCTTGACGTGTCCTGACCTTTTGGCTGGCAGACTTTAAAAAGAGATTTTGATCATAATGAGTGTTTACCCGGTAAGATAGAAGGTTAGGATGAATGAAACAATTGTAAATCGCAAACAAAAAACATGAAGATGAACGCATGAAACAATACATAACTACTTATAAAATAAGACCCCTTTGTCCCATGTGTTGCACTCATGATGTGCCTTATTGGCCACTAGAGGGAGCTAAGATTCCATGTTCTGAAAAAGGCCCCGCCATAGAACGTGTCTGTTCATTATAAAGCTGCAGAAAAACAGACATACAAGCATTCTCAAATGTAGTCCACCAAATTCACTTCATAATGATAAAAAATAAAATTTGACCATAAAGATGGGTCACCTAACTTTTTAGAAACATAAATTCAGTTTGTCTCAACAGAAAGTCTCGAAAAGTAATTCTGTAAACAAATCAGATCACTACAGGCTGCCTTCATCAAAACATACTATATTTTGAATATGAGTTAGAAAAAGCCCTGTTAGTCACATTTTGACGCTTAAGGCTGAGAGCTGTTTGGATGAATGTGGGAGGTCCTCTTTTTTTCCCTTCCCTGAAGTCGCAGATTAAAAGATAGGACATGGGCCAAAACATGGAAAGCAGTGATAGACGCAAACTGTTTTGAGAGAGAAACTGTGGATTTTAGCAGTATTTGTGGTTTGAAAATTAGGTGCCCCAGCTTTAAGTCAAACAGTGGCTGGTTCTATCCATAGTTCCATCATACTATTCACCTTACATGTTGCCATGAAACAAACAGTAGCTTTTTTAGCAATAATCTAAGTATTATTATTGATTAATTGTGCCTGCTTCTTTTGACTTGTCCTTCCCCACAGCCTCCACATGGGGGTGCTATCCCACTGAGCATCCTTCTGTAAGGCATACGCTCCAGTGGCCACCTGATGGACAGGAAAAGCATTACCTCATCTCTTCCTCTCATTCCTCCAGGTAAAAATAGATAGATTAAGCCCGGGCTTTGATGAGAGAAACCTACAGAGGAGGTGTGGAGGCTCGGAGTGAGGGACGTGAGACGGAGGAGAGAGACTAAATGGATCGTTCTGCTCCAAATCCAATTCCTAATAGCTGCAGGGATGGGTAGGTGGGAGGAGGGAGCCGCAAACAGTCAAAGAAAGAGGAGAGGGGAGTGGGAGAGTGGAGATATCACGTCTAACAATTAAGACCTGCCTTCGGGGCCTAAAGAAGAAGCTTTGTTGAGAACATATAAATTGCTCATTGAGTAGCTCCTCTCCGCAGCGTGCCTCAGATACAGTTTCCTCAAAGACAAGTGCCCCGGCCCCAGCACTGCACAGGGGCCTTCACACAGAGCAGGGGGCCCCTCGACTACACTCCCACTGCAGCCTGTGGACTGTGGGCAACTTTCTACAGTAAACACAAGCTCAGATCACTCGCCGGGTCCCAAGGGTTTACTGGGCTAAGACGCTTCTAACATACTGGGTAATAAGATTGCACTGGGGACTGAGGGGGTGATTGTTGGTGTCTAATGTAGTGTGATAAAGTTACAAAATCTAAATCACACATGATAAAAGAGAAGACTTCTTTGAGGTCACTTTGTGTTTGGTCAGTGTGATTCTGTATGTTTTGTGGACTGTAGGGAGAAGCTACGTAGATACATGTAGGATTAGCTGTACGTTCTGTATGTGTGGCATCAGTTGCAGCTGTATGAATGTATGTATATTAAGGAGTAATTCTTGACCCAAATTTAAATTTCAAAAATGAATATTAAAAAACTAACCAATACGTTGAAATTTAATATAGCACATTTTAGATATATTAGGAACTCTCTGACTATAGATGCTTCTAATTTATATCTAAATGCGATGATAGTTCCGCACTTCCGTTATTGCATGAGGAGTTGGTCGCAGGCATGTAAAACAGCATTAAGGCCCCTGGAATCATTGTACAAAAGTTCTCTTAAGGTTCATGACAAGAAATCTCGGCTCTATCACCACTGTCATATTCTTAAAAAGCATAGTATATTAAGTTTTGAAAATATAATCATATATTCAAATCTCTGTCTGTTGTTCAAGATAATTAATGGTACTGCAGCTCCTCCATTAAAAAAGTTTATTTCACTGAGCTCAGAAATTTCATCTCGAGCCACTCGGTCGACTGTTCGGGGCGAGTGTAGGATTCCTCAGTGTAAAACAGCATTCGGCAGCTCAGCCTTCTCCAGTGTGGCCATCAGACAGTGGAATATGTTGCCAACAGAGCTGACCACATGGGTACATTTTAACACTTTTTCACACCAGGCCAAAAAATGGCTTCTTTTAAAACAAACCTGTTCCCATAAAGTACTGTAAATTGGTTTCATTTTAATGCTGTTTAGGGGGAAATGTATTTTTAACATGTGTAATTTTCTAAAACTTTGTATGTTGACATCAGTCTGCCCAGGAACTGCAGGTGGAAATTAGTACAAGTGCTACAACCTGGTACAATGCATCTCTCCTTTCTAAGGTTAATGTATATTGTACACTGTCCCTGTTCAAATAAATAAATAAATGAAATGAAATGAAATGTATTTTCAGTTAAAATAAATGCAGGTGAAACTTGAAAATTAGAATCTCGTTCAAATGTTCATTTATTTCTGTGATATGTCAAACCAATACATGATATAGACCAGGGGTGTCAAACTCATTTTGGTCAGGGGCCGATAAAAAAAAAATAGGAACTGGTCGGGGGCAGAAACAATAGAAGAGATTTGCTTTTTTATAATAGTTTTTGACATTATGAAGGTGACATGAGTTTCACTATTATTTTCAGCTTTATTTTTCTGAAAACAAAATACGTTTATTGTTTAGATTGAACAAACTCTTGATCAAATATAAAGTAAAAACATTTTATATTGAACTATTTAACTAAATATGTGTTATTGGGTTAAAATGTTAGAACACATAAAATTTGGTTGTTTTCCTGAGTAAATAGAAGATTATAACCTGCCTTGGCCGCCCATTACCATCAATGCTGCTAGTTAATAATAGGGGCCACCATTTTTTTTCTTGCGGGCCGGATCTGGCCCCCGGGCCTTGACTTTGACACCCATGATATAGACTCATTACATGCAAAGTGACCAAGCCTTTGTTTTCTTTTTGATGATTGTGGCTAACAGTCAATCTTCAAAATATTCTACTTGCTTTAAGATGTTATTGTCATGAGGAGAGGTCTTGGAGGACTCAAATAGCAGGAATGTCAAAAATAAGGTTTTAATGATGATAAAACAGAAGTCCAAAGGAAAAAAAACAAAATCCAAAACCGGGAACAGGAACAAAGACAATACAATGAACCAGCAACAAGAGGAGAGGAGCACAGGGTACATATAGACACAGACACAGTTGAAACACATCAGGGCGGGGCAGACAATCAAGACAGGGAAAACAGGACAGGAAGTAAAACCAAAACCAAACTACAGAGAACAATGTCAAAATAAAACCAAAGTACAAAAAAAAAAACAATCCACACCATGACAGTTATAGTTGGGGGTTTTACAATCTGTGAGCCGTAATTAACAATATTGAAACAAAGGAAAGCTTAATCTAGTTCATACATTAGTTCACTACATTAGTTCGTACATTAATTCACTTTTGAACAATATTTTAATTTTCACTTGTAAATGGTCTATAGAGCTGTGTAACAACAAAAGGCTACATTTATTTTCATGGCATCATAATCTAATCTCAGTGTTTTCCAACCAGTGGGCCTTGAGATGTTATTTGTGTGCCTTTGGAAATGATCCAATTTCACCTAATTGGTCAAAATAATGTGAGAGGATTAGAAAGACTTTTTTGTGCGTGTTTGATTTTCTATATAATTCCCTTTAATGAGAATGACT